TCTATGAGGTGGATTGATTCAGTGACTGGGATAATTGGGATGGGAGTGTCAGAGACAGTGCGATTGGCACAGGACAGAGCGGAGTTTATGGCTGTTGTACATAGGTTTGCTATGAGTCGCAAGCCACTCGACGGCACATAACAACAGCAACATCTATGTGAGACTCACTTTCACAGCTGCCACAATTAGGAGCTAAAGAGAGAATTGTCTTTAAATCCCTTGGATAAAAATGATTTAAGTTGGAACACCTGGTCTTGTGATACTCCACAGACTTTAGGAGAGGGGGGCACAGCAATCAGCTGGCACACTGAGGTGCTAGGGAGAGAGCTGCCTTCAAAGACCCCAGAGCAGAATCTGTTCAAATTGGAGTACCTGATCCTGTGGTACTCTATAGAATAAAAAGGAACGCATCAGAAGAGGGAGCTACAAAAAACTGAGAGACTCAATCCCAGAGCCAGCACTTTCAGAAGCTGAGGAAGGATGAGCCTGAAACTTCACTTAAGAAATACTTCTCCATTTGGGCATCCCTGTGGCAACATGGCCATCCCAGGGACAAAAGAGGACAATAAACTTTAGGAGAAGTGACTGCAATCAGATTAGATATTCACTTTCATAGCTGGCACACTGAAATGCTAGAAAGAGAACTGCCTTCAAATTCCACTGGACAGGAACTGCTTAAGTTGGAGCATCTGATCATACACCACTTCTCAGGCAAAGGAAGACAATACACATCAGAAGAGGGACAGCAATATGGTGAGGAGATTTCAGCAGGGCTATACTGCAGATCAGACAGGACCTGAAGGACTATAAGAAAGGCAAAGTTTCCTGCTCCATAGCACCAGAAGGGACTTCCAGTAAAGTGGGTTGTCCAATTCCATAATCTTTTAAGAGCTAATCAATAGCATCAATAATGATAAAAAGCTATCAACAAACTATTAAGACACAATAGAACAGGCAACTTCTTTCAAGAAAGAAGCAGCCAACTCTAAGCTGCAAGAGAAAAGGTAAGGGGAGATGTGGCTCTGTTCCAAGAGTGAGCACTCTCCATTGCTTGTGGGGAGATGGGACTGAGGCGTTCCTGGGGTTATAAGTTCCTCCATCCTGGGATTCTTATCTCTTTGGCTGTGGGTCCATCCTAGGGGCCAAATAGGACAAAATACTTTGGTATACAGAATTTCGAGCAGAGGAAAGGATTTTCTTAGCTCTCTACAATCCAGAGGGTGGGCCTGAGAGCCTTTGCATACAAGCTGCCTGAGCTGGCAGTCCTGATCTCCTACCCCACCAGAGACAAAGGAAGACACTAAGCTGCAGGAGAAAAGGTAAGGGGAAGTGAGGCTCAGTGCCAAGAGTGAGCACTCTCCATTGTTTGTGGGAACTGAGGCATCCCTGGGGATATAGGTCCCTCCATCTGGGGGTCCTAGCCTCCACAGCCACAGGGCCACCCCAGGGGCCAAATAGGAAAAGAGACTTTAATATACAGAACTTCAAACAGAGGAAAGAATTTTTGTTACTGAGAAAGAGAGCTGATTTGAGAACCCCTGCACACAAGCTGCTTCAGCTGGCAGTTCTGATCACTAATCTTGTGCCACTCCAGAGACAAAGGAAGATGTTAAGCTCCATCAGAAAAGAAAAAGATACATGAGAAACTGTTTGAGTAAAGCATCTGGTCTAACACCACTCAGCTGCTTCATGCATGAAAGAGACCTACAGAGTTGGTGCCGGGGAACTACTTCAAGGTGAGATTCCTACAGGGCTGCAGTGCAGAACAGAGAGAACCTTGAGGACTTTAGGAAAGGCATATTTCGCTAGAAAGGGCTTACAGTAGAGTGAGCAAATTACCCCATAGACTGAACATTTTAACTTAGCAACTAATTAGTAACATTATAAAGGCAAGAACCAACAACAATTTTCACAGACATAATAGAAATGACCTAACATTTATCAAGAAAAACTTCACATCATGTGAAGAAAGCAGCAGGCAGTTTCAAACACTGTGAAAAAAGTAAATTAAGCCCCCCCCCCCAAAAAAAGAGCAGAGAACATTAGAGATGCCATGAATACCCCAGAGTGAAGAAAGCAGATAGTATATGTTGATATGAAGATATTCAACCAGCTATGAATAAAAGTAAAATTGATGGAAGAGACAACAGAAGACACAAATAAAGGGAATACCCTAAAAGAAGAGAACCAGAAAAAAAATACTGATGAAGAGTTATTTGAACAGCTACAGAAGAAAGTGCAAATGATGGAAGAAACAATGAAAACCACTAAGAAAGTAAATGCTCTACAGACATTGAGACAAAAGAAAGATATTGATGAGGAGGAACTTGCACAAATACAGAAGAAAATGAAAAAAAAATGGAAGAAAAAAATTAAAACTATAGATAAGAGGTATAAGAACTTAAAAAAACACCTCGAGATAGAGAGGGTACTGCCAACACATACTAGAAATAATAGAAAGGCATGAAAATGCAATCCAGAATATTAAGACTGACCTGAAGGAGAAAAAAGTAGACAGAAGATATGGAGCAGGAAGTCAGTGAGCTGGAAGACAAGAACTTCAATGGAAACATACGAGAAGAAAAATCAGAGATGAGACATCAATTCAAGGCATTAGAATTATGTGGGAGAAAATCAAAAGGAATAACATACATATGGTTGGGATTCCAGAATGTAAGAGAGATAAGGAAATGACTGAGAAAATTGTGGAAGAGGAACTAGAAGAAAACTTTCAAGGTATTATGAAGAATGGGAAATCCACGTTCAGGAAGCTCAGTGAACACCAAACAGACTAAACCCAAAACCATAGTTAAAAAACCATTACTGTAGAATTAGTATGAAGATTCAAGGGGCAGCGAGAGGGTGGAAGCAGAGGGGTGAGAATGTGTGTATGTGGGGGACATTAATTATGGGGTTGTACAATTTGATGAGTGGGGAAGGTTGAGGGAAATGGGCAGGATCTGGTGTGAAAAGCAACGTATTAGAATTTTGTAAATAAACTAGCATAAAAGATAATAAAAAAAAGATATATCAAATTAAATTCTCCAAAAATAAAAGATAAAGATAAGACTATTGAAAGCAGCATGAGAAAAAGTCACCTACAAAGGAAAAGAAATTAGATTAATTCTGATTTTTCAGCAGAATCCATGAGAGTAAGAAGACAATGGGATGACATATACAAAAAATTGAAAGAAAACAATTGCCAACCGAGGATCCTGTACCCAGCAAAACTCTCCATTAAATATTAAGGAGAAATTAGGTCATTTTCAGAAAAGAAGGAACTTAAGGAATTTTTTAAAACAAGACCAAATCTCTAAGAACTTGTATGGGAAGTCCTTCATACAGAGACACCAAAGTGGATGGACCATAGTAATAAGAAACAACAAAGAAATAAAGCAAAATGGCAATGATAAAACCTGGCCTGTCAATAGTTACATTTAATGTGAATAGACTAAATGCACCAATCATGTAAAAAGAGTACCAGAATGAATTAAAACAAACAAAAAACCCACAGTCCATCAATTTTGTCTACAAGAAATATGTCCAACCACAATCAAATTAATTGAGAAATCATGGTATATTCACATGATGGAATACTACATAGCATGCAGGAGCAATGATTTTGTGAATCACTACATAATTGAAAGGGACAAGATAGCATTATGCTAAGTGAACTAACTCAGTCACATAAGGACACATACTAGATAACTAGTGTAATGTGTATGAGGATCTAAGGTGGGAAGGGTGGGATCAGAGAGGTGGGGATGGGTGGGGGTAATCATAAGGTGGCACAATTTGATGGATGGAGTTAGTAATTGGCTAAGGAAATGGGAAATGAAAAAAATGAATACAAACTATGTAAGTAAACCAGTAAAAAATAAAAATTTTATACTAAAAAAAATAGAAAAGAAAGATATACTGTGTAATTTTGGGAGAACCTGGAGATCATTATGCTGAACGAACTAACTCAGTTTTATCAGGACAAATATTGTAAAAATAGTAGGATAATTAGTAAAAAAGTGTATGGAGATCCAAGAAAGAAAGGGGTGGGAGCAGAAGGGGGATAGTGGACAATCATTTGGTGGGGGTTGACTGTAAGGAAATGAGAAAGATCTGGTGATGATTTGGGAAGACAAGGCAATGATGGACATGGTTTAATAGTGAGTGATTTTATAACACATAATGAATGAGAATGATTGCAGAAAACACAGTGTGAAATATAGTGTGAAACACAATGTATACAAACTTTGTATGCAAACCAATGTAAAATTAAAAAAAATACTTTTTAAAAAGAAGCTGACAAATACAGCCAGAAATGCATAAACAGGAGAGGATAAAATTAATGAATGTGATCTTCTAAAGATTAGAAATCTTTGCATGCGTCCAAAACTTTTACCAGTGGAGTGAAAAGACCTTCGCAAGGGTCTCATAATGAACATTTCTGCAGAATTATTCTGTAGAATACTACAGGGCCTTCAGAAGAAAAAGACTGATAATCCAATTAAAAAAGGGGTAAAAGACATGAAAAGATTTTCACAGAGGAAGACATTCTGATGACCAACAGACACATGAAAAAATTCTCAAAATCACTGGCAATTAGACAGATCAAAGCCACAAAAAATGAGATATCATCTCACTCCAGTAGCAGTGGCAAAATTTAACAAGATAAAAGCTATAAATGGAGCCGACACCTCGTCCACCCTGGAGCACAGTCCCCTTCGCATAGTCACCGCCGCTGGTTCACACCCACCACTCCCAGCTCACCATGGATGATGACATCGCTGCGCTGGTGGTCGACAATGGCTCCGGCATGTGCAAGGCCGGCTTCCCGGACGACGACGCCCCTGGGCTGTCTTCCGCTCCATCGTGGGGCGCCCTCGGCACCAGGGCGTGATGGTGGGCATGGGCCAGAAGGACTCCTA